GCTAACTGTTCAATAAAAACCTCCGACTGTAATATTAAGCTAACTGTTCAGTAAAAACCTCCGACTGTAACTTTAAGCTAACTGTTCAGTAAAAACCTCCAACTGTAACTTTAAGCTAACTGTTCAATAAAAACCTCTAACTGTAATATTAAGCTAACTGTTCAATAAAAATCTCCAACTGTAACTTTAAGCTAACTGTTCAATAAAAATCTCGACTGTAACTTTAATCTAACTGTTCAGTAAAAAGCTCCAACTGTAACGTTAAGCAAGCTGTTCAGTAAAAACCTCCAACTGTAACTTTAAGCTAACTCTTCAGTAAAAACCTCCAACTGTAATATTACCCTAACTGTTTGTTAAACCAAAGTGTCTTGTTCTCTATTCCCATGTGTGAAATGCAAAAGATTAAACTTTGTTTTGGAGGCTTTGGCATCTCTTAAAAGTTGTTTAACTAATAGTAATACCTGAAGTAACGAGCAAATTACTCTGCTGTTGAGTAATTATTAACTTTTATTAGTTTGTAATATGAGTAATTGATTACATTTTCTTGTTCAATACTGCTAATTTACAATAAGAAACTGATTCAATTTCATTTTCATTAATTCTTCTTAAAGAAACAATAAATGAAAGAAGTCAGAACGCCATTTTTGTGCCACCAAATGTATTGCCATGTCTGAAATTTACCATGTACATGTCTTATATTACAAATTAGCATTAAAGTTCTACAAATATGAGTAACTTATTGAAACTACTTAAGTACATCTAGTGGAGATGTAAGAGATATGAAAAGCACTTGCAGGAAGCTTAATTGTTAGGATAGACTGCTGTTATTATTTGCAAGTGTCAGTGGACCAAAACATTACAAACGTGTGTGTGGGAGGTTTATGTGAACTCAGTGGGCCATAAAGTGAGGTTGGAAGTCAAAGTCTTTAGAGGTGTTTTCTTCTTTAAGAATTTTCCCATTGCAGTTTTCAGAGGTCAAGTGCCGTTCAGAGGTAGCTACAAGGTACTGTATAATCGTGGCTGCAGGGACAGTGAGACCTGTCACAGCCTGCCCTGAGGCATACTTCTTTCAAAAAGAACTGATTTCTACTTTACCTGTTTCAGTAAACCAGTTGAAAGGCTGAAGAGAATGAGTAATCATATTTTGTCAATAAAAATATATTGGATATATTTAGGTATACTTTGTAGTTATATATATATGTATAATAACGTTGGGATTAGAGTGGCTCTTTCAGACCTCAAATGCACTGTAGCTGACCAAAATATGCAATATTATAGCTCAATTAATTTGTAATGTACAATTTATTTTGTAGCTTAAATGTCACATTTACATAATCTTCTATAAATACCTCATCTGTTTATTGTTCATTCTGAATATTAGAGTATTCTAAGATATAGGAGTATCAAAACATACACTGTAGCTGACAGCTATGCTCGCTCATGTCCCCCAACTTCCTGACATACCTCAGGAAGTGATCTCAAGTTTCTTTGCACGATTGCAGTAAATACAGTGTCTGGTACCTGAGGTGTGATCACAACTTACTGCTGTCTAAAAGGTTTCTACAATAGATGAGTTTAAGCCATTTAAAGTTTGTCTTGCAGTGATCAGCATGAGTAATGTAGTATCTTGTCCTGTGTAATGAGGCTCTTGTGCCACTAGGAGGCCACAGTGTTTTAGTTATCTTATCTTGTTCCATATGTCCTCGTGTCCATAATCTTACATGATATTGCTTTTTATGATTTAAATGTTGCTTGTGATATAACCCTGATTGTAATGTATCATGCACCTGTACAATTTCATGAAATCTAACATGATTGTCATGTTTCATGTTTGATGGGACCATGTATAAGATATAACTGGTAATTTTGGGGATAACACATAGTTTGTAGAGTCCGTATCTTTCTAATCATTAGGATATTAAGGCTAATAAAACCATTACATAGTTATTTGATTATTTATTTGTGGATAATCAAATGACCCTATAATTATAGGACTTAGTTCAAGGCAGGACAGGACAACAAATAAGAAAGAAACTACTTCATACTCTAATGTTATATATTTTTTTTTTTCTAACTCTTATTTCCAATTTCAAAAGGATCTTATGCTAACACAGTTGTGTTGAAAGATGTTACATGTTTAAAATCACCACCTCAAATGGCTACTGTGTGGGCCCCATGGAGTGAGACATCTCAACCTCTTTCTCAGACTGGTAGTAGTATACATACTCCACAGTTAACAGAATGACTTAGAAAGCAGAATGGGTTAACAAAGCTTGGAAAGAACATACATACACAAGAAAAAGACATAAAAATAAGGTTTTCTTCATCAGTGCTTTTATTTCATTCAGGCTTTTCTTCTTCAGACAATGGCTAACTGGCACAATCCTCTGCATGCAACATGTCTCGTCCCTCCATTACTCATCACTGTGGGTAAAAGTGGCTGCCAGGTGGCTATTTGGTACTAGCACTAAAAACGAAAATGTCTCTTATGACTGTTAAGAGCGAGACAAGCCGCCATGTTGACCTTTGACTGCTACACTTAGTCACCACACGGCCCAGCAGAATCACTACCAGACGTATGATTCAAACAGATATAAAGTAATATGAAACTTAGAGAATTAGGCACAGATAAGACATAAAACTGCAGAGAACATAGCATGCATGTCCAAGGCAGAAATCATAAATTATTTAACAGCAGTGCACATATTCAAGGCCTACATTAGTGAACATTAACCACAGAGTTGGTGATAAGAGTGAGATAATACGTGCCATAATGCAATCGACTCTTTTGCGGTAAATTAAAAAGTGATCGTGTGTTTGCCCGTCACCATTTATTTACTAAGTACATAAAAGATACAATTTACCTCAGAAAGTGCTGACCCAGAAAATCAATGTGCAAAACAATAAAGAAGAAAGTAGGGTCTTACATATTTATCTGTAACGATAAGTGAACCACCAGAGGGAAGTAAAGAGAGTCAGACAGTGCTCTGTGTAATTCACAACCATTCTTCCCTGGGAGGTTTTTATTCATTAACACCTAAAACAACAGTAAGGTGCATAGATTTTAAAAAGTGACAGCACTCATGGACATTGAGCCCACATAATGAGAAAAACAAGGCTTAGAATGAGGTAGAAAAACAGTCATTACCATGAATTTGAACGTCTTCTATCTTCTTCTAAACCCTGATCTGTCTGTCATACATTACAGGTATGTTGCTGGCATTTTGCTTATCGTGTGATCACT